CCTGCCCCTGCTCATGGTCTACTTCACCAACTTCGGGAACACCACCATCCTGGTGCCAAAGCCCTTCCGGATGCTGCTGGGCATGCACCTCGACCTGGGTGAGCACCCCGGGCCAGACCGCGGCTGGCAGGGGGCGGGGCCGCTGCTTTGGGAGGCTCCGGGGGTGGCGGGCGGACGCGCCTCTCCCTCTGCTTCTGACAGAGCCCACGGTGCGCTTTTTCCCGCAGGGATACTCTACTACGCGTACATGGGCATGCTAGCCGTGTTCTGCACCAACGCAATCAATATTCTGGCTGGGATTAACGGTCTGGAAGCCGGGCAGTCGTTGGTGATCGCTGCCTCAATCATTGCTTTCAACATCGTGGAACTAACGGGTATGTGGGGTTGGCGACCTCTCGAGCAGCACGCTCTGCAAAGGACAGTTGGCTCTGCCCGTGGGCTAATCTGGTGGCTCTTCGTTTCCCTCCTCGCAGGGGATTGCAGAGATGACCACGTTTTCTCTCTCTACTTCATGATCCCCTTTTTCTTTACCACGCTGGGGTTGCTGTACCACAACTGGTAAGAGTCCCTCTGGAAGGTGAAGGCCAGCCTTTTCTCGTGGGAGAGAAAAGCACCCGGGGATGGTTGGGAGAGGATCTTCATTCCTTGCAAGAGACATTGTGGGTGCCAGTTGGAGAGTCCTGGAGGGGTGTACCACTCCACGCCAGCCTTTGGGGACCTCCTTTCCTCAGAAGGAAGAGCATCTGGTGATCTTCATTTTATCAGTAATCTTGTTTCAAGGGTTGAAACAAGGATATCTTCCAGGGTCTTTTGCAGAAATTGGATCAAGGGGATTCTTTCCCATTAACCCCCTCTAGCCCTCCCTCCTGAAGAGACCCACTGAACTAGGCCCGGGATTTCAGTTTTCATTTGGCCCGCCCAGGATCCCATAAACTGTCCTGCCCCGTTCCTTCTTAACGGTGTGTTCTCTTTATTATGCATAACGCCTCCACCTTCCCGTGCAAAGAGTTCCTTACTGGACTGTCAAATCTGTTTCCTCTCCTGGCTGAGTGCAGGTACCCCTCCCGGGTATTTGTGGGAGACACCTTCTGCTACTTTGCTGGCATGACCTTTGCCGTGGTGGGGATCCTCGGGCACTTCAGCAAGACGATGCTGCTGTTCTTTATTCCACAAGTGATCAACTTCCTCTACTCGCTTCCTCAGCTTTTCCACATCATCCCTTGCCCCCGCCACCGATTGCCCAGGTAAGAACAGGGCTGCCTGCTAGTTGGTCTGCAGCCACAGGAGAAGCCAAGCAGGACTGCGCCTTTCAAAGCAAGCTTCTAGCCCGGGGGTCCTGTGCAAAGATCAGGGCTGTACGTTCCTCTTGCCGAGGTCTGCATTAGTCAAACTGGTCTCCACGAAGGACCCCGCTGGGTTTTACTCAGGATCGTCCCTTTGCACAGGAGGGGAGGCGCTGCCTGCCTTGATCAGATTCGCCCTGCAGTCCCTTGTGCAGCTGTTCCAGCCTGGGCTGCATCTCCCTTTCCTTTCTGACGGGGTCCATCTCTGCCTTCAGATTCAACGCAGACACAGGGAAGCTAGAGATGAGCTACTCGAGATTCAAGTCAAAGAGCCTCTCTCCTTGGGGAGCATATATCCTGAAGGTAGCGGTTAACCTAAGCAGGAAGGCGGGGTGTGGGGGCAGTCTTCTGAGGGTGGCTTGGCTCTGCCTCATGCTGATAAGGCATAACAGGGTCAAGGGGAAATAATATAAGTAATGCACGCTTCTCCCCAGATAGCTAAGAAATTCTGCCTGGTTGATGTGCATCAGGGAACAGACAAAGACGGAGAATTTACGGAATGCAGTAATATGACTCTTATTAACTTCGTGCTGAAGCTGAAAGGACCAACTCCTGAGCGAAACCTGACGGTTCTGCTGCTGCTGCTCCAAGTGAGGAACGCAGTTGCTGGGGGGAGGGGCAGGTGGCTTCAGGCCACGCTCCCTTGGGGATAACAGTTGTGCCCTTCTCACCAAAGCCTATTTGGGGGAAGATCTTTTTTTCCCAAACTAGAAGCCCAAAGCAGTTTGAGTTCCCACAATACACGCACTGTTGCCTGATCACCTCGGTGTGTTGTGTGAAACCAGCCACTGCGTTTGTAAAGCAGGATGGGTAGCCTTGTGTACTTTACAACCCAGCAGTTATGGTGAGGTGAGCAATGCTTTGGTGGAATAGGTCAGCCCATTGTGCGAGCAATCAGCTGCACCTCTGTGCTACAGTCTCTCCTCTCCTCTCTCGGTTCAGGTTGCTGGGAGTTCGGTAGCTTTTGCTATCCGGTACCAGCTGGTACGGCTGTTTTATGACATCTGAGCCAACGTTTGTTCCTCCTCTGCCCCGCCGTCCATACCGTCCAAGAAAAGCCGTGAATGCGGTCCTGTCCAGGGCAGTTCTTAGTCCTTGCCGGAAGGTGGGCTGCTACTGCTGCTGCTGCTGCTGCTGCTGCTGCTGCTGCTGCTGCTGCTGCATCTGCTGCATTGGCGTCAGGAGCTACATGGTGCAGTTTCTGTTCCTGGCAGAAGAGGGGGGCACCTGCTTCTCCAGCGGGGCCCCGTGAACACCAGGGAAGATCAGGCGAGCCGAAGGGTCCCACTGTCAGCCTCCAGTAAAAGCCCCACTTTACGGTCAGCGATGGGGCTCTCCTCTCCTGGATGCAGCTCGGAAGCAGCATTCTCCTCAGGTGCCACAGCCTGCCTGTGGTCCTCTTGCATCTTTGGGAGGGAGTCCAGTGAGTCAACACCTGTAGCAGCTGTGGGAAGTAGAGGAGCTGTAGGCTTCGTAAGTGGTTTCCTTGCTATGTATTCTGGGGAAGGATTTGATTTGGGTGTCTTCAGTATGTGCTGACTGAGAAAAACTTCAGTGTATTTGAGAGATTGCTCTGAAGCCTATTTAAAACTGCTGTGCTCCTGCCGCCTTTCCCACAAACTTCGTAGAGTGCTTTTCTATACCCCATTTTGTACCTAAGGCATTTATGTGTTGGGTCAATCTAGAGGGGTGAACAGGAGGCCAAGCGTTTTGAGGACAGGGTGCAAGAACAGGCAGCAGGTGAGCTGTGGGGAGGCTGCAGCGGGGCCAGAGGGCCCACGGCTGATGGCATTAAGACGCTTAGGTCAGACATTGGGACACGCAAGCGGTAACAATGTTTGTGTGATGTCATCAGTTGGGCAGGGTGGGTTTGGGTGGTTGTTTTTTTGCCCGTGGAGAGCTTGTTTGTTGTGGGGATGCTGGAAGTGCAAAGGGGGAGAAACATTGAGTTCTTGGCTTCCACCTTCAGGCAGGGGAGAATGGAAAGGACTTCAGAATAAAGCGTTGCATCGGTTCACCTGGAGGCGTGCTTATTCGGGCAGGGCTCCTCTTCGCTGCGCAGGCGCGGGGGGTGAGGGGGGGCGGTTCTTTTCTCCCTTT